GTGTCACCACAGTCATACCTTGCATCCAGGTAAAATATCGCAAGTGTACATAATGTCCCCTGTTTTCAGTCGGGCAGCCAGACATTCACTTTTGCAAAATTATCAGACCAGATACAATGCTGCAGCCCAGAATTGTCTGGACTAACGAAGGTTAATCATATTGCACTGCTTGGTTAGTTCTCAGTAAATAACAATACACCGGTGGGTCTTAAATAGCTTAAGTTTATTTATCAAAGTCTGATCCATCCTCTATCTGAAAACCCACATCCATAGCCTGAATCTTATGCAGATCCACATCATTCCCAGGAGTAGGAGTTCCGCCTCATCACCATGCACCCCAGACTCGGATACTCTCCAGCATTTGAAAACACGAGACATGCGGAAGTGACTGAATAACGGTACAGTTACTTTACCTCTTACACTGACTTAAAAGTAGAATGCTTAGATGATTTAGGGAATGCAACACTACCCCTTGCAACTTTTCAAAGCTGACAAAACAGACCACCCCAGTCTGTGGGGCAGAATTGGATTTTATAAAGTGACATTTATCTGCTTGAACATCTGACACCTCCTTTGGGGGCGTACCCAAAATATAGGGTGTATGGTTCTCGGGTCAATCTGATATTACCTTTCTACAACAATTTAGCTTCATTTCTCTATGCACTCGTTTCGGAAATATCGGGATTTAGTACTCAGACATGACAGAGAATATGAAGTACCCACGTCATACTCGCGTAAATATCATTATCTACACTGGTGCCCCTCGACGCCAATTGGGGAATTCACCTCAGGTAGAAACGTATCGTTCCGGAGCAGTATGATTTCATTTAAATGAGATGCAATCGTACAGTAAAAACACCTTGGCATTAAAAAAGCACCGTCTGAATCCAAAGGCATTTCTTATAATCTTGGTCCAAGCAGGCAACCATGCCGTATTATGCTGGAATGTAAGGCACGTGCTTTACACAACATTTCAAAAGCTATGGGTCGCATGTTCACGTGGTGCGAAGGCACCAGTCACTCTAAGGGTATATATTTCGAAATTGCAGTTTGTGCAGATTTCTGAACTGATTAAATAGACGCCAGAACCAAAATGTTTTCTTGACATGGCAAGACGTGGCAAGACGCAGACGGTGGCAAGACGTGGCAAGACGTGGCAAGACGCGGACGGTGGCAAGACGTGGCAAGACGCAGACGGTGGCAAGACGTGGCAAGACGTGGCAAGACGCGGACGGTGGCAAGACGTTGCAAGACGCAGACGGTGGCAAGTTATTGGCAAGCAGCACGCAGGGACACCCTGTCGCTACATCGGGGCTAACTTCAACATTAACCACCGGATCATTAGTCGACATGTGAGGAAGCATGCTGAGACCGGTGAAGTAGAGAATCGTCCAAGACCTGGAAGCTCAAGAAAGTCCAATGATCGTGATGAGCATCAGAATATGTCTCTTTCTCATAGAAAGACACATGTAGGAACGTCTGACGTGGTGGAGGCTCTGAGAAACTGCAAATTGAGGACTTGGCGTAGGGTTCATTGGTGGCCTTCTTCTACACGTTGTCGTGTATGGAGACGTCGTCACGAGGCATATCACCAAGAGAAGAACCATGCAGCTGAACACAATGGATGTGTCTCACTGCGAATGACTTCCTGGTGGATGAGATGGATGTACCAGGAAGGACCATTTTACCGCTTTCATCAGGAACTACTGCCGTTGTGCCACATGTTGATAACCACCCCTTTCCAGTCATCCTAACAACGCTAGGCTTCACCATTCCCGTGCCGTCAACGTCCATTTGCAGAACAACGCCCTAGAAACAGTACCATGGCCCGATACCAGGGCCTTGGTTATCGAAGCTCTCTTAGCGCTAAGATAGTCGTAAGTGCCATACATTAACCTTAACTTACGACTATCTTAGCGCTAAGAGAGCTTCGAAAATCTAGGCCTAGGATACCAGGAGCCCCGAAGGGAACCCCATTGAACATTTTCGGGGGACATTCTTGGAGGCAAAGTTCGAGCTGGAGATCCTCCTGTTCAAAATCTGCCAGGGCCCCGTTCCACAGAGTGATCTTAGCGTTAAGGTAATCGTGACTCCAATATGTTAACATGGGCTTACGATCATCGTTGTGCTAAGATCGCTTTGTGGAACGGGGCCCTGGGCCTAGATTTTCGAAGCTCTCTTAGTGCTAAGATAGTCGTAAGTGCTATACATTAAAATTCACTTACGACTATCTTAGCGCTAAGAGAGCTTCGAAAATCTAGGCCCTGGACTTGACGCAGGCTCTCCATCGAGGAGAGGCGGAGGATTCCGATGCTGAAGATTCGACGCTTGATTCGCAGTATGAGGAGGAGACTAGCAGATGCGAGGGGTTACTACAGTAACTACTGATGTGGTCGCCAGTTTTGGTTCTTTATTGTCACGACAATCATTATTTGAGAACGGTGTGACAATAAGACTGGTGGCGTAGTCATGGTGCCCAGACTGTCAGGAATTGTTGATATTCACGGTACACAAACGCATCCTTTTAGGACAATAATATTACAATAAATGTAATGAACTGAACCCAGAGCCAAGCTGCAGGTGCACATGTCCTTTGTAACGGTTTCCCTGTACTAACATGGCGGTCACGTGATGTCGGCGAGACAGGAAGCCCATATGTTGAAGACACACTTCTTAATACCAACATCACAGCTGATGTCAACGACAAAATCCGTTCCAAGAAGCGTATAAGTATGTTTGGTTCAATAACACGGTTGGTTTGATCAGAAGCTCTTCAAATACAATCGCTCTAAAAAAACCAAAAGATGACAAAAACGACGAATGTTGTTTCAATGAAGCCATTATTGCTTGAGGACAGGCAACGCGGGGCTTGATGTAAAGTTCAAAACACCGTCTTGATATGGCAATGTATGGCTGTAGTGCTTTCAGAAGTAAACTGGCTTGCCGGTGAGCTGCTCAAATGAAGAGATGTCTTCTACTACGACAACGAAACCTACTGCGACTACTGTGGAACTACTCCAAATACTGCTCTAATCACGGTCAGAAATAGACCTCCGTAACCCATGAAAGGATCCAGAATTGGGCGCAGGATGGTTGTCTTGGATGAAAACAGAGCATGGTGTCTGTTAGTGATGCAGAATACTGCAGATTACAATTTTATGCATCAACCAACTCCCATTACATCAGCTCATCTAACATGCACTCAGAAGAGTATGAAAGCAAGCATTAGAGAGAGACTCAGAGAGACTGAGAGACAGAGAGAGAGAGAGAGAGAGAGAGAGAGAGAGAGAGAGAGAAAGACGGCAGTAGTTCTGATTAGTACAAGGGGTACAACATCTGCTGACGTCTGTACGGAAACATGTGTACACGAGTCTTGACTCATGACTACACAAACCCACACAGAAGCTTGATCAAGGACCCGACGTATGAGATCAGTCAGGATAGGTATGGGTTGTTTCATCGCGCTGGAGCATCTGCCTGCTAGCTCTCACCCCTGACCAACCCCGATAGAGTGAGTGAGGCAGTTTGCCACAACTAGCACTCACCCCCGTGGTGTGCGTATCACAAGCTGTTACTCGTTTGTTACACGTCCTCAACAGTCGCCAGTTATACAACGACCAAAATGACACACCAGGAATCAATTCTTCCGTATTTCTAAAGACAGTAATCTAGCGCGGTAAACATCACTTCTTGGCAATTCCTACTCCAAATGAGCCCGTGGTTCACGGCATGTATAGGTGTCGCAATGTGATGGGGTCTGTGTACAAACGACGTCAGGTACAGTTTCAGATGACAGAGGTAGTGTTGAGGGCTCGGGGGTGAACAGTCCCCCTTTTAAAGGATGCATTTAAGCATGTATATCTATCGTATCTGGACATGTGTAAACATGATAGTACTATAACTGACATGTGTACGTTTAAGCTACGTGACACAAACACAATCTCAACAGCCAACTGATGCATCTATTCATCTATTTCCTAAATGCTGTATCCTCTCTTGGGCGATCGCTAAACTGTGCTGCCGCTATTTGATTATGTGCTAAACTGGCCATTTTACAGCATTTATTAATGCAGGCATTTCATATGTTTTAAAAAATGTTTGGTTTCAAGGCTAATGTGTCCATCAAGATGAAAACCTGCTATTTGTGGTGCGAAATATATCTTGCAGATGTTCGTACATCTGGTTTGAGTAAATCGGCCTTAACCACAGACGTACGATGCAACTCCTAAACCTTCAACCTACTTTTCATCTATATGTTATAATAAAAGTTAAAACATAACCGGACACTTCTTAATGTTATTGATTCCGGCCCGAGCAACATGTTTCACACGTCATCATAGTTTCCGCCTGGACTGGGTTATAGGTGAAATATGTGCAAATATGTGACACAAAAACACGAGCTGTGACACAAATAGACAGCACTTAATTAGCTCGTTCTCATGCATATATTTCTCCTCCGAAATACTTCTTCACAAAAACACGAGGAAATGTAATCCGTATTCGCCATAAGTCATTTCCTTGCGTAATGGAATATTATGAATATGGGATATGTTTTATAAAATACCAGCAGTTTATGAGAAATGTTACTAACGATAAATGAAAGGGTTATTAACTGATATGAATCCATGTATTTGTCATAAATGAATTTGTCTTTCATCATGGTATAAGCAAGACAGGTTTAAGGAATTAGTTAAAATTCGGTGATGTATTATCTCCCTGTTTCATCCCTCTAATATACATCTCTCCATCTGATGATGGGGATGATTTCATTTGATACATACAGGCATATATGACACATTTAGATTTCATCTCAAACATCTCATGGAGAAACATTAATTAAAACATTTTCAAGATGTTGATGAACATTTGTGATTGCTTTACGGAATGCTGAAATATGTTCATATCAACGTTATGTCTAGGTGACAACACGTTGGTGACATTTAAATATACAGGTGAAACGGGAAAAGTCGCTGTCAATAAAAAAACTATCGAAAACTTACCTGACAAAGGACGAGAAACACTTCCAGGCACAGAACCAGAAATACTGTCACAAGAAGGGTCATTGTGGTAAGGTCGAGCTAAGATTTACTCCTCAACTGCCGATACCGTGAAATAAGTTCCTTGCTTCTCCCTTCGGTTGACAGTGCCCACCCAATCCTTTGTCACTTGCGCAAGTGGCGCTCCGTCATCGCGGATGAATACATTATGCTGATGACCAAAGTGCAGCGCGTGCATCTCTCATGGGCTTCACGTCCGAGAAATTAGTCCGGAGCTTTATCGAATTTTTCCAGCCCCCTCTTGTCACAGATCCCAACTGCTGCCCCGGAGGAACGCTCCCTTGGAGCCATTTTGGAAATGCCAGATAAGCAGACGACATTTGGTCACGTGGTTTCTCAATCTCGTCTGCCATGGTGAAAAAAATCGATGTTAAGACACCACGATGGGCTTGAGCGGAATTAGAACAGTGGATTGTTCGTTAAAATTCCCTTGCGTGAAGTTTGAAGCCCGCCAAGGGCGTAATTAACGTGACTGACGATGACACAATGGAAGGCATTACGAATATAGGGGTATCGCTTTCTACAGCCACGCTGCTTGTCTCGCCTCAGAGGTATTTCGATGTATGAGCGACTGCAATCTCATTACAGACTTGTAGTGATCCACAATGAGTTCTGACATGGAGTCTCTAACAGATTAAATTTCAAATTTCGATTTTTTTAACATTCATGGTTTCAAAATACAATTCCGTGTTCATGGATCTGGCATTAATCATGGGATTTAGACTGATAAACGATAACTTTATACACTCCATCAAGTATCAATGATATTGTCGTCGCATTTGTCATTTTCGCAAGGGGTATTCTCCGAGAGCTGACATTTGTATTGAACCGCAGAATGATTTCAGCACCGCATCTGTGATCAAGTCCACAGCGAATCTGTGTTTAGGGCAGAAGGGTGTTCGATCCCAAAAGAGACGTTAAAATGGTATGTGTTGTAACTATGCCTGGCGGTCGGCATGAAAAGGGACAAAAAAGGTACTGACCGGGTCGTATCACTCTATAAACAGTCTAGATATCCAATGGCGTTTTAGACTAGTATCTCACTATATAAAAAGGGCGGTAGGTCTGATTACTACACATGCACCTACTGGATGCAAGTCGCCAGGCAAGTGGAATCACTTTAAGTGACGTTAAACACTATTTCACATCATCAGATTCTGATTACAGCGTCCAGTGAGCATTTAGTCAGATGGGTACTAGGCGCTATATAATTAGGACAGGAGACCCATTGTAATCGTTCGGATAATTATTATTATTATTATTTATTATTCCGCCGATTTTTGTACCAAACATAACTCCTAAACCAATGCTCCGAATCGCTTACAAATATCACACAGATTCTCACCAAGGTGTAGATATTCCCCTTAAAAATCTCTAGGCTCTAGGCCCAATAGCGAAAGCGAGATAATTCAAAATTAATTCCAAAATTTCAAAGTTTGACAGCAAATATCTCAAGAAGTAATTGTTCCAACACTTCCAAATCTCTTGTACAGATGCACAATCGAATTCCAAACAATTTTGCGTGGACGGGTCAAGTCGCTAAAACGTACCGTTTGGCAGTTATTTTTGTTTTCAGTTTTTGGCCATGTTTTTCAGCAGTTTTCTGAGTAGTTTGCCCCAAAACTGTGCTGAGCTACAACCATCAGCTCTAGACATTCCAAACTTTCCACAACTGATGTCCAATTAGTGCCAGTATGGTAGATGAAGTCTTGTTGATTCCAGAACACTAATTGTTTTGACCGCAGAGCCAAGAAAAACTGAGATACAGCCTATAAAAGAGGGAACTATTTCTTCTCCAGAACTTCTTCAAAAAAAAAAAAAAAAAAAAGGATAAAAAAAAAGGTACATGACCCCCGCGACCCCGGCTGTATTTGGAAGATCCGCTCGCCTGTCAAAAACGTCTTCTGTGATTTCTAGCCCTCAAATAATGTGGATAGAACTAAAGCCAAGGAGCCGCATCGTTGCTTGCAACAATATTTGAATTATTATTATTATTATTTATTATCTCATCCCCCTCACCAGTTAATATTGGACAATAGTTAGTGTGTGAGTTGGGTTTTACGTCGCTTTTAGCAATTTTCCAGCAATATCACGGCGGGGGACACAATAAATGGGCTTCACACATTGTGCTCATTTGGGGAATCGAACCTGGGTCTTCGGCGTGACGAGCGAACGCTTTAACCACTGGGCTACTCCACCGCCCCTGGACAAAAATTGAAGATAAGTTGATGCCAGGCTATCAAGCTTATATTTGTGATACACAGAAACCACAGTTTCTTGACGCATCTTTTGTTTGTTGTTATACTGTATCATTTACAATCAGGGAAAACCAGGGGCTGACAGCATGAGCAACGAGACTAACATTCGGGGTAAGATATAATTCTACCCGGTATTTCTATGGGGTAGTGAAATATACTACCCGGGTGTAGGGTAGTGTGGCTATATTCTACCCGGGCAATCCTGTAACGTAGAGGGGCCATATTCGACCCCGGGTATTCCTGTAGGGTAGTGTGGCTATACTCTACCCCGGGTGTTCATGTGGGGTAGTGGGGCTATAGTCTACTCCGGGTGTTCCTGTAGGGTAGTAGGGCTATAGTCTACCCCGGGTGTTCATGTGGGGTACTGGGGCTATAGTCTACCCCGGGTGTTCCTGTAGGGTAGTGTGGCTGTACTCTACCCCGGGTGTTCCTGTAGGGTAGTAGGGCTATAGTCTACCCCGGGTGTTCATGTGGGGGGTAGTGGGGCTATAGGCTACCCCGGGTGTTCCCGTAGGGTAGTGTGGCTATATTCTACCCTGGGTGTTCCTGTAGGGTAGTAGGGCTATACTCTACTCTGGGTATTGATGTAGGGTAGAGGGGCTATATTCTACCCCGGGTGTTCCTGTAGGGTAGTGTGGCTATACTCACTCTGGGTATTGATGTAGGGTAGAGGGGCTATATTCTACCCTGGTGTTCCTGTAGGGTAGTAGGGCTATACTCTACTCTGGGTATTGATGTAGGGTAGTGTGGCTATATTCCCACCCCTCGGGTGTTCCTGTAGGGTGGTGTGGCTATACTCTACTCTGGGCATTGATGTAGGGTAGAGGGGCTATATTCTACCCCGGGTGTTCCTGTAGGGTAGTAGGGCTATATTCTACCCCGGGTGTTCCTGTAGGGTAGTGTGGCTATACTCTACTCTGGGTATTGATGTAGGGTAGAGGGGCTATATTCTACCCCGGGTGTTCCTGTAGGGTAGTAGGGCTATATTCTACCCCGGGTGTTCCTGTAGGGTAGTGTGGCTATACTCTACTCCTGGGTATTGATGTAGGGTAAAGGGGCTATATTCTACCCCGGGTGTTCCTGTAGGGTAGTGTGGCTATACTCTACTCTGGGTATTGATGTAGGGTAGAGGGGCTATATTCTACCCCGGGTGTTCCTGTAGGGTAGTAGGGCTATATTCTACCCCGGGTGTTCCTGTAGGGTAGTGTGGCTATACTCCTGTAGGGTAGTGTGGCTATACTCTACTCTGGGTATTGATGTAGGGTAGAGGGGCTATATTCTGCCCCGGGTGTTCCTGTAGGATAGTGTGGTTATATTCTACCCCGGGTGTTCCTGTAGGGTAGTGTGGCTATACTCTACTCTGGGTATTGATGTAGGGTAGAGGGGCTATATTCTACCCCGGGTGTTCCTGTAGGGTAGTAGGGCTATATTCTACCCCGGGTGTTCCTGTAGGGTAGTGTGGCTATACTCTACTCTGGGTATTGATGTAGGGTAGAGGGGCTATATTCTACCCCGGGTGTTCATGTAGGGTAGTAGGGCTATATTCTACCCCGGGTGTTCCTGTAGGGTAGTAGGGCTATATTCTACCCCGGGTGTTCCTGTAGGGTAGTGTGGCTATACTCTACTCTGGGTATTGATGTAGGGTAGAGGGGCTATATTCTACCCCGGGTGTTCCTGTAGGGTAGTGTGGCTATACTCTACTCTGGGTATTGATGTAGGGTAGAGGGGCTATATTCTACCCCGGGTGTTTCTGTAGGGTAGTAGGGCTATATTCTACCCCGGGTGTTCCTGTAGGGTAGTGTGGCTATACTCTACTCTGGGTATTGATGTAGGGTAGAGGGGCTATATTCTACCCCGGGTGTTGATGTAGGGTAGAGGGGCTATATTCTACCCCGGGTGTTAGAATGACCAGCATCAGGTCTTCCCATATCACGTTGACGTTCTTGATTTGAAAGGCGTGGCATTTCCAAACAGAGATCGAAATGAAAAGTTTAATTTGTTTGTCCAGCTCACATTCAATGTGCGTGTTCAGTGTAAGCAAACATACACCGAATGACATCATGAATTTGCTTTTCACACCTGCATTTTGTGATTTTCATCTTTATAGGCTACAAAATCAAGGTTTGCATGTGAAATTACAATTTCACGAAAGTAAGGCATTAACACTGTTTACTAATGTTTAATATACTTGTAAACATATTTGATAAAAGAGAAAATGAAAAATGTAGAAATGTATCAGAGTCAAGTTTTCAATTTTCTGAGTATATAAAGCTTTGCAACCTATCGGGCTGACACGAAAAAAATGGCTTGCTACGCGCCTGCCTGTGTTATAAGAAAATAAGGGTACACATGTAGGGCTTCAGATAGCTTGATACCCCTGTCTACACTATCTCATGTACCTTTGAACGATAGTCCAGTATTAAAAACACTGATATGAGTAACAGAGCTGGCCTGGGTCACGTGTTATTTGCAACTTTCCTTTGGATTTTGCTCGCTAGTCTCTTTCAAGCTGCTTAAAGCAAAAATAGACCGAGTCTTCAAATGAGCACGGTCTCAGATAATCTTCAAATAGCCTAGGTTAAAGTAACTTAACTCTTTGTGCAATACGACACCACACGTAGCAAGTAATAGCGGGTCTATTTACACAATTATCTTGCAGTAATAGATGCAGGGGCTGTAAAATAAATGCCCGTTCAATTATTAATGGATTTACGGCCAGTTTAGAGGTAGGTAAGGATGCTCCTTCGCGTCATGTTTATATATACTTACAAAGAGTCTTAAAATAGCGTCTAGAGGTTGGGAGAACATCGTGACA